CCCCCAAAATCTTTCATCCAATCTAGGTATCCCCATCCGCGACCCCATCCCCATCCGCAATCCGCAATGTGCAGCCGTCCATGCAATCGATCCAAGTCGAGAAAGGTGTTAATGTGAATGATGCAAAAGAAGAAGAAAGAAGAAAGAAGAAGAAGAAGAAGAAGAAGAAAAAGAAGTAAAGTTCCTCGTTAGATAAAAGGGTTTGCGTTCAGAATGGTTTATAAACAAGATCCAACCAAGCCTTCAGAGGACTCGGTCATCATGACATACTAGGACTAAGTGCCCCGGCATCAGCCGGACTCTTCAACCCCGGACTTAGACCGCCTGTTGATGTTGTCCTCCTCAAGGCACGCAGCTCCTCCTCCAGTTTACGACGCTTGGCTAGTTCCTCCTGTGAAGTAAGTTAGTAACCAAATACTGAAATGAGAGAAATAAAAAACGAAAAAGAAAACTCACCTTCATCTCCTCATTGAACCTCTTCCTCTCCTCCTTCATCGTCGCCCTAAACTGCTCACTGAGCATCGTCGCGCCCATTCTCGGACTCAACAACCCGCCGGCGGCACTACCCGCCGCGCTCAGCGCCGGACTAGGCGGTGGTCTCAGACGCTCCTTATCCAATTCTTCCTTGAGCCTGCTAATCTCCCTCTCCATCTTCTCTCTCAGTTCCGCCACTTCGCTCTCCAGCGACTCCTTGGCCTGCGTCGCGTCATCCAGCTTATGCTCCAAGTCGAGCTTCTCCTTCTCGGCGGCAATCGACTCCTTGGTGATGGCCTCAAAGTCCTTGAGCGTGCTCTCCAGCTCCATCTTCAGCTTGGCCACCTGCGCCTGCAGATCGGCCACCTCGTTCTTGTTGCTGATGGCAGCTGCGTGGGCGGCCCGCTCGGCGCGCGAGCCGTAGGCCCCGTCAAGCTCGGCCTTGGCGATGGTCATCTCCATCTTGATCTCGACGAGCATCATGTTCATGCGCTCGAGCTCCTCGTCCTTGTCCTTAATTTCCTTGCGCAAGCCCTCGACGACGTCCTCGGCGTCCTTCTGGGCCTTCTCAGCGGCGGCCTTGGCCTTTGCGGATTGCTGGAGCTGGGACTGCAGATCGACCACGTCCGCTTCCGTCTCGGCCAGGCGAGTGGAGACGTCGTTGAACTTGCTCTCGAGGTTGGCAATGACGGCGTTGCGCTCCATGAGCTTGTCCTGCGTCTGCTGCGCGCCGCGCGCCATGGCGGCCTCTTCGCGCTCGGCGGTTGTGCGCTGCATGGCCTCCATTTGCTCGAGGGCGTTCTCCATCTTGTCCTTTGCTTCGAGGACGCGGGCCTCGGCATCGTCGATGAGGCCGCGCATCTTCTCGAGTTCTTCCATCTTGGCGCGGAGCTCAGCATCCTTCTCTGACCCGCTCTTGTTGTTGAGCTCGCGCTGCTGCTTGATTTGTCTTTGCAGCACAGCTTTTTGCTCCTTGAGACTGGTGGCTTGGGCATAGAGCCATTGTACCTTGGCGGAGAAGCCCTGGAGAGAGTATTGCTCGTTGGGATCGATGGCTTCGTCGCTGCCGGAAAGATATTCCTCGTCCTCCTCGTCGACGGCCAAGTTCATCTCCAGGCGCTTCTGGCGGCGAGCAGCCTTCTGGCGCTGAATCTCTGCAAAGCCGGTGTGGATGATATCCCACAGACCCATGAGGACGGCTTCGACTTGCTCGCTGTCGGATCTGTTGGCGTTATTGTTATTAGCGGTCGAGCCTTGTGTACGGCCCATCTCAACTCTGATTGTGCGTAGGATGGTCTCGAGGTAGTCGAGCTGCTCGTCCATGGATCCTTCAGAGGCCGTAGGAGGAGCCGCTGTGCCGATATCAGGAATGGTCTGCGTCAGGAAGGTGTGAGCACGCCTGTTCAAGGCCTCGATGCGCTTTTCGGCCTGGGACAGGGTGGCTGCGGAGGCATCACCGGCAAGTTCCAAGTCCCTGTTGATGGCTGCAGACCTCAGTTGCTGCTCGTGCATGGCCATGTCAAGACCGCGCTCCAGGTAGGCAAGTTGGACAGGAAGTGTTTGGCCGTTGCCGGCAGCTGGCTCAGGATCATCAAGATTAGCGTCGGCGGACGGGTTGATCTCGGTGATTACATCCCTCAGCTTGTGATTCATCATCTCCAGTCTTTGCTCGGCCTCCGCAAACAGCCTGATTTGACCGTTGATCTCGGTACGAATAGCATCGTTCTCGGCTGAGAGTTCCTGCTGTCCAGCCCTGAGCTGGTTCTCCGTCTCCCTGAGCTTCTGCTCCGCGGCCTTGAGTCTCTCGTTCTCCTCCTTGACCCGCTCCATCTCCTCCCGCAACTGGCTGGTCTGCTCACGGATTGGCGACTTTGGTGGAATTTCGAGATTCGTCAAAGCCGGCGCCGGGGTAGGAGCGAGGTTCACCGACCTCTCAGGTCCTCCTTCTGACGGGTGTAATGTCCGCCAGTCGAATCCATCATCACCACCAATGGGTTCCATGCTGATACTGTCCCGCGAATTGGTGTAGGTGTAGAGGCTTTCGGGGCTCTCGGGCATACCATTAATCATCATCGAATTGCCGAAGACCTGGCCATTGGGTGTCTGCGCATTCCTCCTTCTCGCTCCATGTGTCAACTGCAAGATGGCGGCGGTATGTTGTAGTAGGCGGCGCTGGGAGTTGAACAGCTGGTTCTCGAGCAAGGCAAGCTCGGATGAAAGCTCATTGCAAAGGCGCTCGCTATTTTGCTTCTCCACCTCGGCCTCCCTCGCGGCAGCAATGTCCTCACGGGAGCTGTGTCTCCTGTGTCCTGGGTTGTACAGGCGGGCCATGGATACGGCGGCATCGCGGTACTTTGTCTGGATCGCGAGGTTGGCGCGGGCTTGGTCGATACGTATTGTCAGGGAGCGGGTTTGTTTCTTCAGGTCATCCACCTCTTCTTGGGACAGGATCTCCCATTGCTTGCTATCACTCAAAGCGGTTTCCATCAAGAGGTGGATCTGGATAGGGTCATCCAGGTCGACAAGCGCAGAGATCCGGGGCCGGTCGGCATCGTTGACCTGTTAGGGAAGCATTCTTGTTAGCCTACACCCCAGCCTCGAATCAGTTCAAGATTCCCATCTGGTCTATCGGGTCGTTCTTACGGGAGTGTACCGCGGCTTGTTGAACCCCTCGGTCATGGACCTCCCCAGGCCATGGAGGGGAGGCGGCGCCCCTTTCCTAGTCGCGGCTCCATTCATGATGATGATGGTGATATATTAGGTTTAGATGTAGTAGGTAGCTTGTATATGCGCCTGAGGTGTCGTCGTATTAAGTATTCAAAGAGCGGGTTGTGTAGTCTGGCGTTGGTTCGGTATGCGTTCGAAGTACAACTAAGTCGTCCAAGACATTATACAAAAAAAAGGCGAGAGAGCGTGGAAAGGCGAAGACGCAAAAACAGTGAGACAGTTGAACAAATCTGTTGGTCGTGTCGTGCAAGCGAACTAGTTGGGCGGCGCCATGCAATGCCGTTGGGCTTTATCTATGCGCGATCGCGCGAGGATGTTCGAGATGCGACTGCAATGCGGCGGGTTCAAGTTGTCCAGGCACCGGGTACGTCTCCTGTATGTACGATGCAAGGGGATCGAACTAAGTGTTGGAGGCTTCGTTGGAGGAGGAAGAAGCGACGAACGGGATGGAAAGCCCCAGCGGTCGGTCGGGTCGGCCCAGGGCGGGATGATGGGTCTACTTTGGTTTACTGTACTGTGTAGCTGGGTGGGAGGTGTTTGAGAGTTGGGTTGGGATGCCGGTTAACCGCCGATCCTTTCAATTGCCGTCCGGGGTTGCCAAGAGACACAGAGAGAGACGGGAGTGCTTCCTCAGGGGCTCAAAGGCGACTGAGCAATGGGAAGGAATGGAGAGAAAGGCGGCAAGAAGGCAGTCCAAAGAATCTCCAATGAAAGTGACGCGAAGTCCGAAATCAATCAACAAAATCAAGGGGCCAAGATGGATAAAAGTGCCTTAATCCAGAAAGGGAAACCAATTTTATATGGAAATGGATTCGACCCGAGGACATCTCCACTTTTACGGGCGGCCTGAAGCCTGTAACCGCTGTGAAGCTAGCGCTAAATTGGGCCGTACCTGCGTGGTGGGTGGGGTTCTCTTTTCCTTCCAAGTCGTCGTTCCTGGGCCATCGAGGTCCTCGCTTTCTTCCACAGGATGGACACGTCGAAATGAACGACCTGACGTCTTCGGAAGTGAACAAGTGGAAACCATGGGAGATCTCATTAGCCGAGGGTTTCAGATACAAGCATCTCTATTTCTTGACAATTAAACCGGGTAGCGGATTGATTTGAATGTCGAGTAAAGAGAGACCATTCTATATGTATGCCTTGTTCTACACAACCGTTGGTGCATATTTACAGTCGATGTTGGTCTTGATGATCAAACAACTATTCCCTTCGCTAATCGCGTTTTCACACTAGACTAGTGTATATCTGCTGAGCATTAGTTTCCTTACAGGTACTCTGAACATCATATACTGCTCAAGTGGAAGCTCTTATCTGATTTGCAGAGCTCAAATTCTCCAACTTACACCAAGACGGGACTTTCCTTTGTCAAATCAAGTGCACGAGGCCAAGTGTTTCTCATTGGTATCCGTCCTGACTTCTGTTCCGTCTCATCCACCTGACGCGCATCGGTAGATCGAAGTGTCTACCTCTGATGTGAGACATGACAGATCCTTGCATACCGTGTGTCTTCTGTAGTGTAAACCATCGATGTTTAATTAATTAACACAAGTATGTTCCGCAGTAAATATACCATGGTCACATTTCAAGGCTAACCTCGATGCCTGTCATAAACGTAGAATTTGGCATGATCGGCTTGGCATTCAAATAACAAAAAGCAATAACTCCTAGTACGATACCAATGCAGTATTAGAAGTGCTTCCTAGGGAATGTGGAAGGTCACATCCAGGCTGCTGCAGCTACAGGACAACTGGACGTCAAACAGGACAGATCATGTTACGAACCAACATTTGTATTAGTGCTGTCCTCAGGGGCCTCAAACCATCATGTCCGAACTGGAAACACCCATACTCCTCATCTTAGAAGGCCCCTCTAACCTCATCTATCAGTTGCTGACCCAACGGTCTCCTCCTGTTTCCTTCCCCCTCAGCAGCTGGCTGCGCACCCGTAGCCACACCAGTAGATGCCCCTTCATCCTCCAGTCTCCTCCGAATCCCATCAAACCTGTCGTTCCTCTTCTGGGCGCGAAGACCGACCACCCACCCCGGAACCCGCCAGCGCGCAACCGCCGCAGGCAAGAGATCGTTGCGCCACAAATACCCCACTGCCCAACCAATCACCGCACCGAGGAGAGAGCCGGGCCACTGGAAGAGGGCCAGCTGCAAAGCCATGAGATACCGTGTCGACTTGTCCGAGAAGATGAACCCGCTGGTGTCGTCGCTGGCGTTGGATGGCGAGTTGGCGGATAAGGCGACCTTGTACTTGTAGATCTGCGGGATCATGGCGTGGTACTGCGCGAGAATGGCAAAGAGAATCGGTGTCGGTCCGGCGGGTATGTAGTCCAGGACGCCGAAGGAGAGCGGTCGTAGGACGACAGTGAGGAAGATGGGCGGGATAATGGCTGTGAAGAGTCCGGCTAGGAGGATGAAGGACTGTTTTGCGATGGTGAGTCTGACTGACTGACTCTGGCTTAAAGAGGCAAAAAGTACTTACGGCATATTTCCTGGAGCCCCAAAACCGCTCAACCATTCTCGTGTGATAAAGGGACATGGCTCCAAAGAGCACCTCGGATGAGTTGGTGTAGCATAGTTGGTACGTCAACATGCGCCATAGTTGTCCGTAGCGGAGGAAGTGAGTGCCAATTGAGATGTAGAAGTAGTGCTTGATGTCAAAGACGCTGGCGGCGATGGAGAGCCCAACCAGGCCCAAGACCAGTGCCTTGGTTACTGGCGCGTCAGTGAAGGACATGATTGTGTTTTGTTTTTTTTGTTCGGACTGGTCTCTATGCACTTTTGGTTCTCACGGACAATAAAGACTGTCCAATGTGAAGAGGAAACTCGGTTGCTAAGATGGCTCTTCTGCCAAGCTCAAGAGATGAAGAGGAAACCGTACGTCTGTATGTACTTTCCCCCTTTTGGATGTCCCGTCTCTGGGATCGCGGAAATCAGGTGTACATATGAGAATCGTGGGCCGAAACACTTATCCAGATGCGCCGGGCAATCAGGGCAGTGGTGTTAAGGTTTTGGAAAGGTGAATTTCCCGGCTGAGGGTGTGGAAGTTGAATGGAAGGTTATCGTCGGCCATCACGGTTCCTGGCCAAGACCTGCCGATGACATGTGTCCCGAGAATTAAAGGTGGGGCTACGGGCGGACATCGGGCAACCCTGCCTGCCACGGCCCACGGGAAATGGAAGGAAAATGATAGGACCACAACGAATAGAAAGCCTCGGAGTGGCATTCTCACCACTGTGAGTGCAGTTATTCAGTGTCAGTCAACAGCTATCATATTACCCGACTGACCTCCACACAGCTGTGCTTGGTATCCTTCGACACTGCACGATTGCATCTTTACACATTGCTGTGCTTTTAGGTTGCGGGTTTATTACTTAGTTTACACCCTGCTCATTGCATACTGTATTGGCCCTCTTTTTCTCCAACTCTTGGCTGCCCATCGTCGATCCGGCGCTAGAGTCCAAAAAAAGTTACTCCAAAGTTTCAATTCCAACATCCACTTCGGGCTTTCAGTTGGAGGCTGATCCCGTCCAACCTCGGGGTCTCCACGCCCTCTTCTCAACCACCACCCCCCCGCTCCCATATTCATAACGACTCGGCCACTTGGCATCGCTGCCTCTCCCGGTCCTTGTGTGTGCGGTAATTCGGCATCATGTCTGATCTCTATCTCTCCCGCATCCGTAACTGGTTCCTCAGTTCGCCCCCGGCAGAATGGGCTATCAGGGGACTCCGCGAGACCCTTATCGGCGCCTTGAAGCAGGGTCCCGTCCCTCGCCATGTGGCTTTTGTTATGGACGGTAATCGGAGATATGCCCGGAGCCACAAGATCGAGACTATCGAGGGCCACCATCTCGGCTTCGAGGCTCTTGCGAGGGTACGTTCCTACACGGGGTTCCTGCTAATGGGGCCAATGCTGACTGACATGTGATTGTCTCAGGTCCTCGAGATATGCTACAAGTGCGGTGTCGAGGTTGTGACAGTGTATGCATTCAGCATCGAGAACTTCAACCGCCCAAAATACGAGGTCGATGGCCTGATGCAGCTTGCCAAGGTCAAGCTGGAGCAACTGATTCAACACGGCGAACTGCTCGAGCGATACGGCGCCAGTGTTCGCGTGCTGGGTGAGCGTGATCTTCTGAGTGACGATGTGCTCGAGGTGATCGACCGCGCTGTTTCTACAACCAAGAACAACAAAAAGTACGCATGTCTCGTTATCCTGCCCCTAATCGGTTCAGGTACGGGTTAGCTGACCAAGGCCTTATAGGTGCATCTTGAATATTTGCTTCCCATACACGTCGCGAGAGGAAATGACGACCGCCATCCGTTCCACGGTCGAGGAATATTCGAAATCATCAGCCCCGAAGCGCACGCCCTTCTCGCAGACGCGTATTACACAAAAGATTATGTCGAAGCAGGGAGACAGGAGTGGGAAGATGGACAGTGACAACACATCTTTGGGACAAGAGCCGTCGCACACCCCACCCGGATCGGACGATAACGAAGACTCCATGTCATCCACCACAACGCTATACCCCGATTCCCCGGGCCGTACTTCCAAGGACGGCTCCAACCACGTTACCATATACCCCAATGTCGAGAACATCACGACCGAGACGATTGATAAACATATGTACACGGCCGACTGCCCACCGCTAGACATTTTTGTGCGGACTAGTGGGGTGGAGAGATTAAGCGACTTTATGCTGTGGCAGTGCCACCAAGATACCCAAATGTTTTTCCTCAAGTGTTTCTGGCCCGAGTTTGACCTGCGGCATTTCCTCCCTGTTTTGCTGGAATGGCAATGGCGGCAGAAGAAGAAGGCGATGGAGGAGGGGCCTCGACAGCGGGTCAAGACGGCCTGAATGGCGCCGGTTGATACCCCAAAGTTATGTCAAAGTGTTGAAGCGAGCAGAAAGAGTTCAGAGTCGATTTCTCTTTCTTAGATATGATAGCAGCAAGCATACAGAATTATCGAGGGCCGCCCTCCTTCACATGTTAGGGCTTGAAAGGAGGGAGGGCTGAAGAATTTATGACCGGTTTCACGTCTGCGTCTTTCGCACCACTGCCCGCATAAATATATCCAGAAAGTTGAATCACGAAACCAAGCATGTCATGTCCTGCAACCCGCCCCAATATGCGCCCGATAACGGACATGAAGTGCACAAAGATTTGGCGACAAGGACAATTGAACGAACTTGGTCACTCTGAACGAAACAGGCGGGTAGATTCGATGCAAATCCAACTATAGCCCATCTCTGCTAACCGAATTCCCACACGGATGTAGCAGCTCGTCGGTAGGCCTTCGTGGTCGACCTCAATGGCTCGGCGCAATTAAGACAAAGTCCTTATCTTATCGCATCCTCGTCTGCTGCCAGTGACGTACGTATCAGAGGTCTCGAAAATTTGGAGTCAGCCAATTGGAGGGCGCGCTCAGTCCATTTAAGTTGGGTCCTCGGGGAACACAAAACATTGCCGGCCGGCAAAGAGGAAGGAACCTAAAGCTCGAAGAGATAATCTACGTACCAAATATCAGGTAGACAGTGACATAACAGTGGCAGCAAGTCCCGGGTTGTAACCTGTGTACCTTGGGAGGTGATATGGCAGCTTTTATTCGGGTTGGTTAAGATGCGATTGTGAGCGCGTCGGTGGTGGATGGTTGGGTGCCGCGAGGTCCAGCGGCACTGCGGCAGTGGATAAGCAGGTAGGATGCTTCAGCGCAAGAGAGAGCACACTGTCTGTCACTCACAGGGCAGCACTGCAGTGGAAGTCCGCCCAAGAGAAAGTCTGGGCAACCCGCAGGCATTCAGTCCCGACCCAAGCGGAGGTCCGGTGGAAAGTCTCTCTTCCCACCCACACACCCACACACACAGCCGACTACGGTCACCCTGACCTTCCCATCCTCTTTTCTGTCCTGATTCTTTCCCCCAGGACTAGAGGTAGTTAAACGCCCACGCATTTTACTACTCGACGAGATACCCACGGCGACATGTTCTGACACCTCTTTTTCTTTCCAACCACGTATTTCCTGAACAGCAGTAACCAACAATCTCGCCGCCGTACTGCTGCTACCTGACTCTTCTCCGTCCCCGAGGCCTTTGGACACGAGCTGGAAGCGCCGCCACGAATCTTTGGGAGCAAGCAAGGAAAAGCAGAGTCGGATCCAGCCCTACTCGTGTGCTTTGACGCTCTATACCCCTCGTCTTCTTGTTGTCTCGTTCTACTCCCCCACCTAATAGCTCTTGTTTATTGTCCATCCACGCGCGTCAGCCACCAGACCTCTCCTCTACCGACCATGAAGACGGCTAAACCTCCCGCGGCCGAGGCACCCTCGGGGCCATCTGGCTCGAATCGCAGAGCGCAGCCCGTACGACAGACGCGAATCAACCCGCCGCGAACCTCGTCCCTCAATCGAACCAACTCGTTCCCCAACGGCCCAGCCCCAGAGCAGCCCATCGACATCTTCCCCGCCGTCACCCACTTCACCGATGCCATTACCGCCCTACCAAAAGAGCTTGTGCGGCACTTCACCCTCCTCAAGGAGGTCGATGCCAAGATCTTTGCTCCTGAAGCTACCCTCTTCGAGCTCGTCGATGCTGCTCTCAAGGCTCCCGTGCCAGACCGCACCCGATCGGTCACCGATGGCAATAGCAGTGTTGCGCCAGCTTCAACACCCATGAGTGCCCAGAACAGCACCAGCGGACGGGTGGCCGCGAACGCGAACCCCGCCACAGTACCGCCATCGATCACCGACTCGGCTCATGCCGCCGTCTTCGACCCTACCAATCTACCGCGTCGGCACCTATTTAGACAGGCCGCCTGGAAAATACAAGAAATGCTTGTTTCGCTCGAAGAAAAGAACCACGTCATATCCACCGCGAACGACGCCCTCAACAAGCAGCTGTCGCGCATTGAGGAGATTTGGCCACACTTGGAAAATGAATTCAGCGACGAGGCCAAATGGGGCAGCACTACACACTGGGCCTACGCTGAGAACCGGGTTCCCAAGACCAACCACAAGGAAGCGGAGCGATCACGACGCGAAGGCGCGGCTACTCTTTCTGCCGCTGCACAACAGATAGCTGAAGAAGCCGCTGCGCGCAGCAGCGATAGGAAACAGGCGTTGGCAGCGAAAAAGAACAACAAAGGACAGGCCACTGAACCAGAGGCAGATCCAAAAGCACAGGAAACCACCAAGAAGGGCCCAGGGACCGGCAAATCCAGAAAACACCAGGCCGAGGCCACCCCCGTCGGACTCGGAATCGCCAATGGCACCCCGAATAATGGAACCGGACCATCCAAGAGACGAAAGGTTGAAAAGGAACCCAAGGCCAACGGAAGTGCCGCCATGGAGCGTGCCATGAGCAGCGTCTTCGGTAACGGAACGGCAAAATCCAAGACAACGGCGAGTCCCCGGGGATCCCCAGCGCCCGATGGAGCCACCCCAACTGGACCTACTACGAAGAAGCGCAAGGCGCTCCCGTCGGGAAGCACCCAGGCCAAAAAGAGGTATGTTTACAGCAACCCTATTTCGTCTACATTGGCACGACATACTAACCACTGTGCTATAGCAGGACAAATGCCGCCAATTCACCGTCGGTGGCGGCATCTCCCCTTCTAGGATCTCTCCCTGACACCAAGGCCGGGCGCAACTCTCCAGTGCCCCTTCCTCCTCGTCCAGCTTCGTCGCGCGCACGTCAGAACTCGACCGCATCTACCACTCTCCCTATACAGCAACGACCTGCGAC